GTCTCGACGTTGTAAATAAAACTAGCAGATTTTTCTCCTATCCGAACTCAACGTTTTCCGCTACAATCGACTGTAATATTCAATCGATCGGATCGATGTAACGTTTTGATTTATAGGTTATGATTCTTTTCTGGGAATATTCGAAATATCCGCCATTTATAGTTCAAAGTCCTTGGGAAAAGATTAGAGCACGCCAAACGGTCGGTACGATCGCGAGATGCCCCGAAATACAGCGATCGTGGCGCCGCCCTCGATCCGGTTTGATTAACGAGTCGCGGTGCCGCGAATAGTTAGACGAGTAATAATAAATCTTTATCGCGGTCTCGAAACCGGCCGATCCTAGTGATTCGTAGGAATATATAAGCGATGGCTGATCGAATATAAACTTACAGGACGTCGCTTGTTCGACGTGTTTGTTGTTCTATCGTCACCATGATAAGATTCGTGACAGCCCGTAGAATAAGATCGACAAGGTTAATGGTCGGTTGGTTTTACACCGGGGATGTATTTAATCGGATTCGTGTATGATTTAACCTGCTTGTCGTGCTGAATGTTTAATCGAATAACAAAATAACACGGAAGCAGTATCTCTTATTTTATTTTTTTTTAAATTAACGAGTTGGTAAAAATATCACTTATGAATAATAATGTGTTGTTTTTTCACCCGATAAACTCGTATTTAAAGCAAATAAAAAATAGTAGTCGTAACAACTGACATTTACTCGTACTACGTTGCACTATTTCATTTCTAGGAAAATGGCGTACGTATTTCAGTAAAACATGAATTATCAGATAATGTATCTATCGCGTAGAATGTTTTCCGTGCAATTAGATTTCGAGGAAAGCGTTTTGTATCATATCTACCTCTACTTGATGCTAGATATATCCCAAAAGCGATCGTTACGGACGTTTCTTGTATGCAACCGATCACTGTCGAATCATCATTAGGCATAACCTCACTTGCCGATCTTCGCAACTAGTTCAACGTCAGTTTTAGAATTACGTCAGGTTAGATCAAATAATCGAGGTTATCGTTTCCCGATTGTTTAAATTCGCTAGTCGGGCCCTTTGTTCGAGGCCGATTTCGATTTCAGAAATTTGCACAACTGGCGTCAGTCCAATACGCACGGCGACTTATTGCGGAGAAGCGGATGCAGTCGCTCGGTCGAAACAGGAACACGCGCGCCGAATGCGCCGATCGCGGTTCCTTTGCGTTCGTATTTTCTCGATGCATGAGCGGATTCCGTCGATAAATCATTCAGCCGGTATTGCGGGAGGAATGTCAATCGCGACGCGCTTAGCTTCGCTTCTTTAGTTCTTTTTTTCGAAGTATTACCGTAGTGTAGTTACGTAGTGCGCGCGAACAGTAGCTTGCATTTGGAAACATACGTTTGATCACGATGCGTTATAAAACGTATAAGACGTTTACCAGTGTGTTTATAGAACTTAAAATATTAATTTTAACGAATGTATCGGACTGAATTCTGCCCCTAATTTAGGTAAGCTTTGTGAATGAAGTAAATTCTAGGAAACTGCGAATATCCTGGAAAACCCAGAAAATTTTAGAGACCTATAAAGCCTACACGTTGCCAAGGCCTTATTTTCTGGGGAAAATCGGGGACCCTGGTCCCTGTAGAACGGTATTCTTTATAGACTCTCGTTGTTAAATACAGGGTGTTACGGATTTTAAGGTTCCCTATGCTTCTACGAATTCTTATTGTTACTATACTGATTTGCTACAGACACACCTGGTGCTCTGCATTGAATCCCGTCAGTATTCTCTGTTTTGTGTCTGATGCAACGAACTTATAATCTATTCTGAATGGTATGGACTCAATACCGGTGTTACGGATACTTAAAGTTCTATATGTGGTTCTATGATTATGATGTATGATTATGAACCCTCAACGTCATGTATCAAACTTCGCAAACCGTTTTAGACTGATCCCGTGAAATCTTAGTATCCTATACATTTTTGCTATTCTATTGCATAGCTAATCTAACAAACTCGCAAAGTTTCATAGGACAAAGTGATTGGAGTAACAATACTAAAGTACTAAAAGTATTTGTGGCGGATCCGCATTATCGGTTCATCCGCCTCGCAAGCCCCAACGACAAATCCCACGGAACCCTTACGATCTTCACCGTCGGTAACTTCGACGTATACCCACCCGTTACAAAACGCATAACGACATGGTCGTTTTAAAGATTTCAGATTCCACGACGCACCGCGATTAAGGACTACGACGGAGCATTCACCATCGGCATTCACCGAGCACACCGTTTACCTGAATGAACGAGCGCGTCGGGAAAGGGGGGAGTATTTTCAAGAATCGCTGCCGTGTATCGCGTTGTGCCTGAGCCGAGGCGTGCGGGCAGGTGTCTCGACCGAGGCGCCGGAAGGTCGTAAACCGTTTCGGACCACGAGGTTTCTGCCTTGGCGGGTACCAAGCGGCGGGCATTATTTACACCTCGTGGCGCGCTGTAAAATCGCGTATACACCCGTGTTCCCTCGCTGTCCGCGCCTGGATGTGTTCAGGTTCATTTAAATTACAGAGGGCGACCGTTCCGGGCCTCTCTTTCTCTCTCGTCTCTTTATCTTTTTCTTCCTCTCTCTGTGTATACCTCGCGCGATCAAACGTGCTTCCGCACTCAACGCCCGGATTATCCGGTTCGTGAACAAGGAAAAGAGGCTGTGGCTGGCGTAGCTCGGTGAAACTACCAGCGCTTACCAGTGGTGGTAACTTTATTCATCGGGCCTGCGGGACCCGGTTCAGTTTTTCGTAGAATCGGCCATTGTCTCGGAGATTAATGGTGCCGCGCGAAACCGTTCGTCCTGCGGACACGAAGACTCGAAAGATTTCGCTCCTTTTGTGTCGCCACCATGCGCTCCCTTGCCCCTTTAGCTTCTCGCAGCTACGAACGCGCGGGGTGACCGGCCTCGTTTCGGGCCCATTCAACCTCGGCTCTCTGCAGCCACGCTCTGCTTCTTCTCGAGGGGTGAATCCATCGACAGTCGGTCCATAGCTCTCTCTCTCTCGGCCTTTTCACGCGCGTGCCCGCTCGTGGGGGATTTCTTAATTGCCGGACGAAATTAATCACCTGGGCCCCAACCGATCTTTTATACACGACGAAATCGCGATTCGGCCGATTTAACGCATTCCACCACACTGTCTGGCTGGAAGACCACGGGTCTGACGTCGAGGTGGCGAAAACGAAATTATGGCGCGGCATGAGACCTACGTGTGGTACCGACGATAGAGGGATACTTTGTCTGCTTTCTCGCTGATGCATCCTCGGGGTGAGTACCTAAGCAGCAAAATTTATGGATGCAGATTATTTCAGCAGATAAAATTGTGGGTAGAAAAATTTGTCGATTAATTTTTGTGTACCTCTTTCTATCTTGCTTTAAAGATGTACTTGTGTTGTTTCTTACATTTTCTACTCGTAGTGAAATTTATGTGACAGCTTTGATGTGCACGTGTTGTTATTATAGTTATTATTGTTTTATTGTCATTCGGAATCGCTGTTTTATTTCAGATGATTTAATAAAAATCAGATATTCTTCATATTTTAGTAAATATATATTCTAATATTTTATATTCATTCGCCCAGTTAAACACTTGCACGAATCTTTTTGGAAATTTATATTTAAATTGGAATTTCATATTTTTGAGAAGCAGTCATTGCAAATATTGGGCAGGGATCATAATCGAATAGCTGTATTTCTGATATACTTTGATCTACGATCTGCGACAGCATGCACAAAATCACGTGTGTTATTGTTGGCTTGAATTCAGATAAATGTTTATAGTTGCTGAAATAACTTAACAACGATATTTTTTCTTCATTGGAAGATGGCTCTCAGAAATATAGTAGTTTTCATGATTATATATTCAGATAAATTCCAAGTTGCAATGGTAGTAACAATTAATGTAATTACCTCTGTCTTTCTCTATAGACTGAATCAAGTGTAAGATATATAGCATGCAAATGAGAGATATTTAGATATTTAATCTTTGGTACTTAACCAATTTTGTTTATTCTTGCTATATCATTGTGGCTATTATACTTAAGCTTGATTAAAATCACGATGGATAGCGTGTGGTTATTAACAGGGTTACTTTGTATACAAATTTAATTTTAGATGATTATTCAGTAAAAGATACAGGAAAATATCTGAAACATGTATTAAATTACAATTTTAATTCTGAACGTTTGTATCTTGACAATAATAAGTCGAACATAATTCTGATAGTAGTAATGCTCTATTTACTCAGTAGTATAACCATATCCTTGGTCTGACTTATTCGTTTTGTTTTATTTTATTTACAAGTACTCCTTTTCGTGATTTTTAGAATCTTCAAAAAGCTCAATAATATTGCTAGAAATGCATAGAGAATGCCCGTTGCGCAATTGCATCAACAGATAAGTTAAAAAGGAAGAACAGCCAACGCGTTGGAATTGGCTGCTTTCGCAACTTTACTTATGTAGCAGAAACATTTTATTCGATGTATAAATGCATATTGCTTCATGAGTACATAAAACCCATTGAATATAAATGGCGTTTTATATTTTTCTGCCTGTGCTCAATAAAATGTCAACGGAGTAGCCAATCTAGATCGCCTATCGAGCCTCAGTGAAAGTAGAAAAGAATTAATATCAGATTAATTTCTCTTCGTGCAATCTCTAGAGACCACTGAATGAATTCACGGCATTCCGTCCATTAATATTAAGTATTTTTCAAGGTTTACCACAGTATTATAGTGTTTCTACTTCGAAAATTTTCCTCCCTTTTTTAATATAAAGATGAAGCCATCAAATATATTTTCCTTGACGAAGTTTATCAACATCACACATAATTAGTAAAAGTTCTGCAAGTAATTAGATATTAGTCGAAATTCTTTGAGATGATACTTCAATAATGCAGAAATATAAGTTATAGATATTCTATAAATATTAGATAGAATTTAACTTAAAACTCGAACCTAAAATGGAGGGTAACAATTGTAAAGGATGAGAAATCAAATAGTGCGCAGCGTGAATGTTGGTGCCAGTCGAAAAGGGGGGATCCACATTTGGAGTGCGCCGACAATACCTCGCTCCCCACATTCCACGACGAGTCGACAATGAGCATTGTGTGTCTCCAGCGCATTATAGGTGAGCAATGGCAGGGCTTGACTTTTTTCTCGGTTCTCCTCTGTGCCCGATCGCGAGAAGGAATATCATTGTTAGAAGGGCAGCAGAAGGGTCTACTAAGCGTTACATCCGTTCATCGAGCGTTGAATAGAAATACTCTCCTCCCTTCTACGCTTGTTTTTATTCTCTTCCTATCTTATGGTCCCCCTTGTGGGGCACCCTAAATCGCCAAGAATCTATTAGATTTGTCATAGCCGTACGCTGTGAATAGTCGTCGGTTAGATGATCCTTTTACACCCATCTATCTTTCTCGTTCTTTCATTTTTTCCTTGTACCTTCATCCTGTTTCCTTTTCCCTTTCATATGCCTGTTGTCGTCTCGGTTCGTTTCTTTTCTGCGACGTCGTTGATCTCCTTTTTTTCCACTCTCTGTCAGTCTCGTACCTGCGGAAACACAAGATGCAGCGTCAGAATTCGATCGTAAAGCTGTGCCACAAAGAGATCTCCGATGATTCCTTGAAGTAATTGAGCTTCTTCTTGTTTCATTCGGCGTGTGGTCCGCGCAAATGATCCTCTCTCGAGCGCCACCGTGGACGACACGCAGCAGCCGGCCGTGATAGGGAATTGAAATAAATCATTTCGTGTCCTTTTGTGCGCTACTAGCAGTCCGCCTTTACCCTTTTTCTTTCTCACTATGTATGTTTTTCATCTTTGACTGTTTTCGATCGAAATCTCAAATTGTACGATTTTCATTCCATCGAGCAACTAACTTTCCTCGACCATGATAGCAAATGTCTCTTTTTACCAATGTCGTTGTTATTATTAGGTATTAAAATGAAGTTTTTTAGCGATCGATGCACTGCAAGAAATAATAATAAATTATAATAGGTTAAGTTATATATCGTACCGTACAATTTTAATACACACTACACACGTCGATGCACTGGAACAGATGTAAGCATCGCGAATGTGGATCTTTACAGTGTTGGTTGCACTTTTATGGCTTTATTTCGGATACCGTATCACGGTCGAAGCCAGGCATGTCCACTAAATGCGCAGACTACCGAAAAATATTAAGATTATTATAGCGAGTTACAAAATTAATTCTCATACATGTGTGATGCAATCTACATACATAGGTAGTCTTGTTGACAATGACACCGTTCTTTAGTGAATCATCTTCCATAATTATTTACAAAATAGGGAATCTCCTCGTGTTTTATAATCCCTTTTTACGCCGCATAGTTTTTTCTTTCTTTAATTAGCTTTTATATATATCTACCTTTGAGGTTATAGAATTTGTAACATGTCTGTCGTCTATTCTGATTCTTTAAACCATACCCTGATTCAACTAAACTAGTGTTACATTCGTAAACTGTAACATAAATAAACAAATTAGATAGGTAAGACACGCAGACCATAAGAATTGCAAGCTTTTCCGTCAACCGTCACCCGAGGCTACAACAACCAATCAGACGCAAGAGATGTATGCGTGAGGGATTACCTTCGATCCGGTGCGCATCAACGGCGCGCACGAAACATGTCAGAGACGCGTAAACGTTGCGGGAAAGAATCACTGCGCGGTTTATCGTCGGATTAGATGTTTTATTGCGGGAGCTTGGTTCCGAGACGGTCCACGAAAATGAAAAAAAGAAAAATAACAAAAACATCGCACATCTCCTTGTCCTCCGTTCGTATATTGAGAAAGAAAAAGAGAGAGAGAGGGAGAGAGAGATAAATAGATAGATAGATAGATAGAGAGGGAGAGAGAGTGATGCTCTCCGGCGGTCTGTCCGCGAACAAAATCTGCCGTAAAATTCGTTTCGTGGCGGAAGATATTTTTCTTGGAAATGAATTCACCGAGCGTCGTCCACGACGAATGTGCATCCGGCTTAATGCCCTGCTGCAGAACGAAGAATGCCGCAGGTATCTCACGTGGAATCTGCGAAAGCGTCGTCCCCTCTCGCCTTCGAACGCGGGACGACGCAGCCTCGGCCTCTCTTCGCCATTTTTCTTTTCTCACCTTAAGGCCTCACACGCACATGCTTCTCTCGCCCGTTCCCCTTTCTCCTCTCCACGCGCCGCTATACCACCCCCACCACATTACTTTCGCGCCCCGTCGTCACTAGAGCCCCCCTCTATCCTTGTCGCTCCCACCACTTTCCCCTGCTACTCGATCTCTCTCCCCCTAGTAGGCTCTCTTCTCTAGTTAACCGTGTATGGGCAAAAAGTATAACGGCGCGACGATGAGACGGCCGCGCCACGATGTCGACAGACTGTCCTGCGAATTTTTACAAGCCGCTTAGCAATTAGTCACCCCGTCTTAGGGACGATTTCGTAACGAGTTTGCCGCTGCCAGTCTCGCTAGTGGAACAGAAGACCGCGAGGAGAGGGAGATACACTCCTCTGTGAATCTTTTCTTCTCCCTCTTTCTACTCTTTTTCTTACTCTCCCTTCTCGCCTGTGGTTTCGAATCTGTATCCGGTCGATCTTTGGTGTTCGAACTGCCAAATAAAGGATGAAAAAGAAACCGTATTCCTTTTGAGAACACCCTTTGCCGTTCTATTTTTAGATCCGAAGTGAGATTCGGGGGAGTAACGTCGAATCGAAGGGTCCCGCCTGAAATTTCGTTAGAGAAGAACATTAAGGCGGACCCTCAGAGGGTGACGGTGGATGGAAATCGCGAATTACTTCGTCGTCGATTCGTAGATATAGATTATGTATAACTACCTGTTTTTACGTATGCGACGGGCATACGGTGGATTTGCATCGTACGCGCGTCGAACGCATTTAATGTCTACGTCATTTCGACACGTGTCGTGAATCGACGAGAGAGCCGAATGGAAACCACCACGATCGCGCCTCCATTCACGGTATCACGCTCGGCTCATTGATGCATTCCCATGGATACTTATCTTTCATGTATCCGGGAATTTTCTTTGTCGCTCGACGCTTTCGTAAAACAACTAATCGCGACATCTAGGTTCCATTTCCATCGTGTTACATCACTGGTACAAAAAATAGCGTAGCATTCCGTCATGATATTCTAGTTTTTATATAGCCATAAATAACGATGTCCAGATCTGTTGTCGTATTCCGTTGCTGCAAATACCCATAAAATGATGAATAAAATATTAATCGGTATGTATTAAGATCAAATGTAAAACTAGAAGCCGTTTACAGTTTTCCCTTGACGACGTTAAAAACATCCGCGAAATGGAGTAAGTACTTTTTTGCCTACCTTCACCGGAATTCCCGTTTCCGTAACTTCGCTTCTATAAATCATAAAAGTGCGTTATGTCGTCACAGCGGGAGCTTCTCGCTGGATTATGTTAGCTGGACCGATCGGTAAATTGTACCCAGCGAACAGGAGAAACAATGCAAGCACGTGTGGGTACCGTATTCCGAGCCGCACATCTCTCACGAGCGCCACCTTTCGCATTGCTTTCTAAGGATTTGTAACCTCGTGCAAAAGTCTGATCGTATCATTCGCGAGACGTTCCTTTTTTCACTCACACGCCGTGTCAGAATTTGAGGTTAGATGAGGACAGCTTAGACTCCGCTTCATAACCACCAGTTTCATAAATGGTCGCTGTAGATAGGTTAGAAACCGTTGAATGATTAGGTTATACAACATGCGTCTAACTACTTTCGAGTCACCGTAAATAATATAAATCGTATATGTGTAAATATTTTTAATACAACCGTGAAAGCGAGAAAAGTGTGGATGAAACGATGAAACGGCAAGAAGTTACGTTTCATACTTGCCACTCTGATACCGGTGTGTATCCACCGCGTTCAGTGGTGCGCACGGATTCCGCGACGATAGTAGTGGTGCCAGCAACCGAGCGCGATGGTGGTGGGAATCGCGATAGTGGTGGTGGCGCGGTAGTGGGGGAAGCACCCACACGCGCGGCACACTCTCGCACACCTCTTGGACAGGGCACAGTCATTCGCGACACCCACCGCGATCGAGGTATCACGCGAGTGGACGACACGAGTTCTCTCGGTTTAACCCCTGTTCTTCTCTCTCTGCCGTTTCTTCGCATGTATATGTATATATGTATATATTGTATATATACATATACGCGTCTCTCTAGCGACACTCTAAGAAGAGAAGCTAGCCGAGAACACGCGACGCTGTATCCTCTATTTCAGACCGTGTATACGTGTATATAGGCATGAAGGAACGTGACGCGTACGCGCGCGCACTTGCACGATAACACGGTACATCGAGCACGTAACGCATACGCACACACGTAGATGCGAGCACGGGTCCCGGTGCGGCAGCGTGGTCGGCTATCCCCATAAAAGCGACGGACTCGACCGGCCTGCGGACAGTTGTCATCGTTGACTACATCGGCGCAACGTGTCTCTTTGTGCTCTAGCCGCGTTTCGACCGGATTACCGAGATATATCGGGGTGGTAACCTTTTCGACACGGAAACGACACATAGAGATCCGTGTATGCTTTTTCACGACGAAATTTCCCACTCACGCGAAATCCCGCGATTATCTCGCGATGCTCCAAAAGGCATGAGATGTACGGATTAGTTAAATTCGCGACCAGAGACAGCAACGGGAGGCAAATAGCGAAGAACAGAGGCATGGTGCTAGCCGGTTGGAAGAATCGTACTATGATCTCACGATCGAATGACTGATTTCGAAGACGAGAGTGGAAAAAGGGAACCGATAAGATCGGCCATTTGGTTGGTCGGTTGATAACGCGATATCTCGAACGATCGAAATCGACGTGCTATAACCAACTGACTTGCTCCGTTTCACGCAAATCGAAATCGAGAAAGATTGTGACCGGTCATTAGCGTTCGATCAACTTACGACTTACTTTCGGTGATTACGGTATACAGCACGTGGTTGAAAACTATTATAAGAGAAGAAGAGACGAGCCGGTAATACCGGTGCAAGCGCCAGACAGAGCGACGCTTCCGCGGGCAAAGCCGTGTTCTGTCTCGTCTTTCGTGTGTATAGAATAACTCACACGCAAAGGTGCGCGCGAGTGTCCAAGCATATACACAAGGACGTAGACTCGTACCTGTGGACAACGTGCGTGCACACGCGTGTACGAAAGCGAAAAAGCGATCCGTGGTGGCGCAAGCGCAAAAGCAGAAGCTTTTTCGAGCGAGCCAGCCGGAGGAGAGACGGTGGTGCCGATGATCAGATACATCGGATTCAGTGGCGGCAAGGGCGTACAGAGCAAGTCGAGTAACAGCTTCCCACCAGTCAGTCACTCACGATCAGCTAGTCAGTCACGGCAGTCACGCGCCGACCGTGTCAGACGCACGCTGGTCTGTTGGTTCACGTGGAAAGAGGCCGGTGAACAGCGAGATATAAGCGGGTGAGGAAAGAATTCAGTGCGAACGTCGCTAATTGGAAATCGTGCGACTGTAATCGGACTTGCTGCAGGCGGTATATAATACGGGCACGATATATTGCCACGCAGGCGCGATGCAACGTTTCATGAACCTTGTCGAGATTCGGTGTCGATGATTACATTCGATACGGAGAACCGGCGAATGGAACGCAAGAGGCAACACGCGCGTATATTCTGAGCGAATCTTATCGGTGTCAAAGACGATCGAGAACGATCGCCGCCTTTAGTTTTACCGGTGGTCCTTGCGTAAAGTCGCGGTAATCTGGGATAATCGTGGCCGTGTCAGATGCGCATACCGGCGTCGTTGCACCGCAAGGAAAGAGACGACAACGGATACGGGGCTCATAGGTTAAGAGAGTTAGTGAGGTGCGGAGGTGCGTGGAAGAGTGCGCCGGTTAAAACCGTGACAGAGGGAAGAAGAGAGAGAGAAGAGTGCCAAGCACGGTACGGCTCGCTCGCCTCGCTCTTTCGTGTCCCTCTCGTCTCGAAACTCGTCGCTCGTTGGTACCGCCTTATAAAACGCGCGCACAGTAACACGGAACGTGCGACGACGACGACGACGAGAACGGGAAAGAATAGCGGCGGGGGACAGACAGAGAGTTAGAGTCGTATGAACTCTCCGTGCACTCGGTAAAACAGAGAAATAAATAGTGATAGTGCAAAAAAGCGACGAACAGAGAAAAAGAGTGCGCGGCAAGGAAGAAGAAAGAAAGAGTAAGATAAATAGCAGATCTCCGTGTGTGTGGAGCTGGTCGAAAGAAAGAAAGAGAGAAAGAATAACGAACCTGCGTGTGTACCTTAGCCTATTAAGCCGTCGGATGCGCTCGTTCAACGTGTCTCGAACAGTGCACGATACCTCGTCGCGTTATCTGTAGTAAATATTGCGGCTAGCACACGGCCTCTGTGGGTCCGCCGCTGATTGTTCTAATCATTATCGCACACGTTCACGACCTGTGTACGCGTACTATCGTCGTGTTCGTCGTTGCCGTCGACTTTTTCGTCATCACAAACGTCGTTGTGGTATCCGTTGTGTCACCATAACGTTATTGTTATTGTTCACGAACGATCTCTTTGTATCGTCGGTGTGCCTTCGCGCGATAGAGGTTCGAAAAAGAATCGGGAAAGGTGGTGTGAGACAACACGCAGTGCAGTAGAGAGTGCAGAAAGTTTTGTGCAGTGAACGTTCGTTAATAGACCAGTGCCACGGCTCCGAAGAATATCAGAGAAAGGGCACACGCGTGCAGAGGAGGGTAGAACGAGACAGACAGCTCGTGGAGCACGCGAAGTGAAAAAGAGATAGAAATAGAAAATACGAGAAAGAGAAACGTACCGGTGAAAAAGAGACAAGGGAAAACGCGCTATATGCGTTGAAGCACCCGTGTCCGAGTGCCAACAACGAGACAGCGAATTGGACATACGCGAGTGCAAGCGTGACATATAGAGAGAAAGAGAGAGAAAGAGAAAGAGAGAGAGAGAGAGAGAGAGAGAAAGAGCGAGCGAGAGAGAGAGATAGAGAGAGAGAGAGATTCGAAAAGACATCGCGAAACTTTTCGAAAATTAGCGAAGATGCATTTTCACGGTAGTTTATTATCGATTTTGCTTATCGTCGTTTCTTGCCCTCTGACTGTTCGTGCACGCAGGGTCGCGCCCTTGATCGAGGAGGACTGGGCTAGGAGACCTCATCGCGCCGCCGGTAAGTCGCCATTTCAACCTTTCAGTTTCAACTTGGTTCTTTTATCGCATTCTACGGGTCATCGCATTTTTTCCTTACTTATATAGTCATTTTCATCGAGTTTATTACAAACGTGACTACTTTTTCCTCATATTTCTATGCCAATATTCCAGTATGCGGTATGCTTCTGTCCGATGTCTTTGGTTGTCGTGATTTCGTCAGAATGCGAGCAGTTTCTTTTCCTTTAAAGGTTAGGGAACGCTCGAAAATACCGTGACTCTCGAACGGCAGTCTACCACATTTACGTAATGAGAGAGTCACGTAAAAAAGGCGGGAATCGAACTCTTCTCGTTTATCTACTTTGAATTGCTGCCGCGTGTCACATTCGTTTCCTCTCTTTTGCCAGCGTTTTTACCGGTAATCGTTTTGATTTATCCCAACCACGGAAATACCATAATCGATGTTTCTACGTAACTGTATCCAGCAATAAACTGAAACAAAATTTTGCATTAGTGTATTTCAGAAAAGTAACAAAAGACGACTGTCCATGGATGTAACAACTAGGCAGGAAGCAATGTACTGGTTCTTAAACACCTCGTACTGACCCAGATGTCAGAACAAGTTAATGGATGTGTATTGTAGTTATCGTGCAAAGCTACTGCGCGACGGAACCGTGAACCTCGATCTCCAGTTTGTTCGTTTTTCACACTTGTCGCGTGTTCTTATTTCATAGAATCGGGGATATGGTCGATTCCATTAGATACTCTACATCTCCTTTCTATAACTGTCCTAGGTAGTCCATGATCCGTTTTCATCGTCGTTTGACACCGTTCCCTGTAATATTTTAATAAATCGTGTAATTAAATTTTCTTGTCAAAAACAAAAAGGATTTCATTCCGATCTATCGTGATTTGTTGTGTTGCAAAATACAAGCACGAGGCTGAACAATTTGAGCAAAAATGTTTCGAGCGAGGAAATGCGGTTGTATAGCCGGGGATTAATTACAGTTGCTTCTAGATTACGTAGCGTAATACTTACCTTTAATAACGATCGAGTTACCATAAGGTATCAAATTCAGATTCTAGTAATCAATTTAATGGAGGAACACCGAAAATCCAGCAGGGAAAAACGTGGATATAATCCTAATCCAGCTCGTGAAAGTCACCAACTAATTAAACAGTTAATTCAACTTATTAATAGGAAAGAACAGGTTTTTCCAATTATCGAGAAAAGGGGGTTAAGTCTCCGGTTATATGTGACGCGTGATTCCCGGTAAAAATTCGATACGCATGCGCAGCGCCGTTAAAGTGCGCGCTGCGTCTGCGCAGCTTGCCGAACCGCGTTACATCGAATTTTCTACCTATTTCTTCGTCGTGCGTTCGCGAGATATACTGACACCGATCGAACAAAACAGGTATCGGAGAATAACGTGATGGAATCTCGTTTTAAAAGCATGTACACGTCGCGGATCATCGCGACGTCATTTGTCAAGGGGGATACAAAGCACAGGCATACGTTATATCGCCTGTTAAAGCATCAATCTATAAACATACCTACCATAACAATACGGTGTTCAACGCGCTCACATTTTTACGACGATGCGTTTCGATGTCAACTTTGTTGCCCGGATCGAACCGTGGCTGCGTAATTTTCTTTTCTGTCGCATCGTTCAGATTGCACGTATATCTGAACAGCCGATAACCCGTTTAACTGCACCCACATACCGACAGTGGTTTACGTTCGAGTTGAACAACTTCTGAACTATACGTTGACCCGAAACCCGTAAGAAAGAGAAGGAGTAAGAGAGATCTAAGATCGTGTGCAGACTGTCGGGGAAAATCTCGTTGAGATATCGATGGCAACTGAAAAGTAGAATTTCATTGGTCCATTGTGAATACGAACGTTACAGAGGATTTTTTCTCCTTTTAACGATATACAGTACTTACTGAAATAAACGAAAAATATTACGTAAACATCGATACGCGCATAACCTATATCAGGTCGTCGTATGTAACCGAATGTTTCGCTATATGTCAAACTCTTTAAACGATCTTGTACACGTGAACCTAAATAAACGGGTATGTCGTAAAATCTCAGAATTTCAAGGTTTCACGAATCTATTTTATTTATTCTCCATTTTCATTTATTTCAAATACTGCATGCCCTTAAAATTCATTACCTTTTCTAGACATCCCCTATTGTGAGTTGTTCCTTCAAACAGGTTTTTGCAATCGTTTCAATCTTTGCTTCGTATCAAACGTTAGGGCAAATGATCCGTAGTCAATGAAATCCTAGAAACTATCTAAATGCTCCGTTGTACCAACACATTGTCCCACAAAGTATCGTAGATGAAGAAATCTGAAGGCCTCTGTGTAGATATAAATCAGCAAAGATTTCGACAATCAGCCAGTAATCAGAATCCATCTTGCTTTTCAGTGTTGACATTTTGATCCTTCGCTTAAAAATCTCCATGGTGGAAATGTTCAACGATCCTCGAAAATCATTATCTTGTCTCCACCTCTCAACAGAGGAAATATTTCAATATAGTCAAGGTACTTGAGCGCACGCATGATCTGTAAATTGATAGCATATCTGCTATACGTTGAAACGTTAAACAATAATTTTAAGAACATTTTAGTGTAATCCTTATTATTTGTTGACACAAGCATAGAGATCTTTGTGTATCGATAACCATCGAGAACGAGACTCGTGCTGATACGATATTTTCCAATTGAAATTAGCTTCAGAATCCATCAACGAATTATTTGTTCTTACTTTTACATACGCTAAGATGATAGGATATATCGGGAATACTTCTCCAAAGTTCCTCTCCTTATAGACATTGTTGCTGGAAGACACCATCAGCAACGTCACACTCGATTACGGAATTCTATTTGTTATTACGTGGTGTTGGTCATACAATTGCGCAATGTTTTTGCAGTTTCGATTGTAAAGCGTATCTCGAACCTTCGTCAAGAGTACGTAGAACAAGGTCGACTCGAGAGGACGTAACGTTAATTTTTAACAAGGCAGAGAGCGTGTCTTGTGCCACTCCGAACTTCTGACTTCTCTCGCTGTGATTAAACAAAATTTTTTGTCACAGCACGGATCATAGTAATAGGATAACAAAAGCCATTGCGTTGTTAATTTTCTTCTCCTAAAACGACATTTATATAGATATGAATATAAAATTTTAAGCAAGCTTGCAAAATTATTTATTTCGATACGAAACAAAAGTTGGTAATCACGTTATTTTTGGGGGGGAATAATAAAATCGACGAAAGTCGATGAAGAGGACAACGAACAGTGATCTACAGGCTTTCATTCGGCTATTCTATACGCGGCTTAACACAACAACCGACACAAAACTCGGTATCCGGTCGCGTTAACCGTGCATCGTCGCAAAGAGAGATCTAAGTGGTTCGTTCTTCTTTATAAGGATCTAGCAGTGTCCAGTATCGTCTGCAGAGTCTCTTTCTCTACTGTTTCCCTCTCTTTCGTGTCCGCTAGAGGCTCTCTTACTCCCCTTTCGTACCTGTTCCACAGCTACTACCTTATCTAGCTTGTTGCCCGTACACCGGATAAAATCTGCCACCTCGAAAATCGTATTTTACGGTGAGATCTAAATGGAAGGCGAATTTCGTCGATGGCCGATTTTATTATGAGAACCGAGTCGACGGGAACGACGATCGAGTGCCTTTAGATACCGTTTTATCGCCAGTGACATCACATTGCAGCACTTTATTCGGTTATCATGGCAACAATAAAAACGGGAGCAATGATATCTTGTCGTGAAGCAAATTAACCGATGATTACTAGCTATATCTCAACCGTCTCCGTTTCGTACAAATCCGACTTAACAAATTTCGAATCCGTTAGTTTAATTTGTTCTAAAAATTATTTCATAATCATATCTTCATTATTCGGTAGTACGCCTGTTAAGACAGGAATTACAAGGAATTCCTCTTACCCTTTCGTTTAATGCTGCAGAACTAGCAACATCTCTGAGAAATACATGGTAGTAAATATAATTGTCTTCCGTGGAATTCGTCGTCTAAGGGCAGAGGATTCCTGAGAAAATCGGTGCAGAAAGCGTTTGTCTTCGAGTTCAGTTTCCTTAAAATCTCTGATACAATTAAGTTAACAGTACGAACTAATTGCAACCGTGCACACGGTGAAAGAGAACGTCTGACATCTTGGAAATGAGTTTCGGTGGTCTAGAGGAGAAAATAAAATTGGATTAGCTCTAAATGCTGTTATCGGTAGTCGATTTTTGATGGTAAAATACAAGAGGAAATCCCCGGAGCAACGAGTCCAGCTGGTACACACTTGTGTATACCTGCCTGACCTACCTTAATTGATTTCTGGTGGCCGTGAGGTTAATTACACGACTACCTGTCGATACACGTTATTTCCGCGTGGATTACCAACCGTTTTTGGGCACGCTCACACAAAGCTTCGAATGATTGTTAGGGATAATCGTTGGAGACCTAAATCATAGAACGAGGGTATAAGGCAGTGAAAAGGAAAACATTTGACAATTTTATTTTTCAAAAGATACAAAGTATGTTTGTTCCACTCACCTTTCATTCTATGTTATTAATAGTAACAAAGAAACGATTCTGCTTTAAAGCGTGTTCTTCATTACGTTATTAACCTCTTAAATGTTGCGTTTAATTTTGAAGGTCTATAATCGTGTGCTTAATTATTTTTAAACAGAGTTAGTTCGTCATGCTGTAAAATTGAAGGGGATTATAACAAATTGAAAAATATCGTTAGTTATTTTTTCGAAAAATGTCCATTTTTGTTACTTGTAGGTCCATTAATATCACTTACGGAATTTAAAAGTCAATCGATTCGTAAACGAAAATAAGATTTGGAATTATAAATATATTTATATTAAATTATCAAATGTTATTATTATTCTAAAATGTGTTGCAATTACGAATACATAATTTTAATTTCACCCATATTGTACCTTAAATAACGAAGGCAAATTATTTTTTCTCCATGAAGAATAT